AGCTAAACACATTAGAAAGCTCATTTAAATACGACACAATGGCGAAGCCGGGCGCCGTGTCGTCCGGATAAATTCGTTGGCCGAAGTAATACTGTCCATCGCGTTTCCTGACGCGTCATCCACGACGGGACGGGCGTCGCGCGAATCGATATCGCCGCGCATCGGGGGAACTTGGTCGTTATTCGAGATCGCGCGCGGACAGCCGGCACCCGATTTTAATTACTTTAACGACATTTATTCATTTCCGAGCGACGATGAGCGCAACCGGTATTTCGGCGGTTTGCGCGCACGCCCCTCCCCCTCCCCCTCCGAACGTCAATACTTTCCCGTGGCAAACGCCGCGGAAGACAATCGCGTTGACACCCCGTGATGGATGTCCCGCCTGCTCAAAATACCCCCTCAGTTTTCCCGCCAATAAAGCCTATTGTAAATGCGAACTATTCGAAATATTAGATCGGCACAGCGATTACGGCCCGTTCAGTCATCGCCGTTGACGCACCGTAATCCTTTCCCACCTCTGTCTTTCTCTCTCTCTCTCTCTGTCTCTTTTACTCTTTCGCTCGTTTACTCTATCGCTTTTGCACCGCACCTTCGCTTGATTTTCACGCCGTAAATAATAAGAAACGCCGTAACAAAAAGAAATGATTTTCATCTCCTTTAACGCTATTCGAACATAACTTAAGGAAAAGTGCACTAAGGACAAAACTCTCAAGCTTCACCGTGCAAAATTAAGCACCGAAAGATAACGATGTAAAAAAATTATGCCAATTTTAGATTACTTCTATTATTACGATCCACAACCTGCCTCATCTTTCCAGGAACCGAGACCCGACAAGAGTCGCCGCTCTCTCTAGTTTCTATTACATATTTTATGCGTTATTACATAATAATGCGGGCGTTTAAGAAACCGGCTATATCCAAAAGTTTTTAACATACTCGTGTCTGGCCCGGCTGCTGCTCGCGATTGAATTGTTAAAGCGCGATAAAATTTCCAAATCGGCTCGTAATTATAATGCGCCGGGACGGTGTAGAAGAAAAGCGCCACTGGTTCTTAGCCCCGCGAAGGTCTTATTAATCCAAAAACTTAACGAGATGTTGAAACGCGGCGTGGTTGACGGTACACCTATTATTACGCTCAAACCGCGAAGGCTAACTCTTCTATCGGGAGCGGACAATCTGACATACCGCGCGCTCAATGAACAGCCTCACATTGATATTTCAGTAACCGGGCGCGTAAGCAGAAAATCGCGTGCGCCACTGTAGCAATAGCGCGCGAGATTACAACACGACGCATTCCCGCGGCACGCTACAACTATACGTTACACAATGCCTTCTCCCTTCCCCCCCC